AACCTAAACCCTAAAGGCCCTAAAGCCCATGTGCTCGAAACGAAAGGTGGCAAACTGGCTGGTAGTGCCCTTCAGCCGTCGGGCATGGCCGGGAGCCGTGTGCCCCGGCTACCTGAAAGTTGGCCTAAGAAGAAAAGGCTTCGTGCTGTTGTCCTTCAGGCTCTCGGGTTTCAGGGTTTGGGATTCTGCAGGTTTCTGGTTCGAGGAGGATAGGCGTTCCCAGGCTGCCTGGGTGGGCATGCAGTCTTGCGGGGCAGAGATTCTGGCTTAGGTTGGGGCTGGGCTCGGGTTCAGCCTTGCAGGGCCAGCCCATGACCTTGAAGTCCTTGCAGCCCTTCGCCTCAGGCGGCTACGGGTACATGCATCGCAGCCCGTGGAAGTGCAGCGGCTGTCCCCGGAGCATCACGACAGGCCTGCAAATTCTGACCAAAATCTCCTTCTTTAGAAATAGCGCCCGGAGTCAAGGACCGTAGGAACTTGCAGGACAGAGTCCAGTTTCGGGGGATGGTTCCTGCTACATCGATTCTGTGGCCCGCTAGTTAAATATGCTCCAAGCCCTGCGCATGCCAGAGCAGTATTGCGTTCTTGTTTGATTCTTATCTGATACAGCTCGTACGGAAGGTTTGGCAAAGGCCTGCTTGTAACTATTTTGGAGTCCTGAATGAACCGGAGTCCCTGAGCTCCTTGCAGGGAGGCGCCTTGGAAGCCGCTCTGGTCCCTGGTGGCGGCCGCAGCCCAGGGTGCGAACGGTTCCGCCCCGGCGCTGCGTGGCGGCCTGCGCAGCTCCGGCTGTGTGGTGAGGAGGGCCGTGAGCGTGACAACGGCTGCAGGAGAGGGGAAGATGGCCTGCCTGCAATGTACCAAACGAAGCTTCCACTGTTTTGTTGCGGTTCTCGTTTTGAGCGGGCATGCTTGTTGCGGGATGGACTGTAGGAGAGATGACATCGGTGACGATCGATCTGTTGGAGCTTCGGGCGGAGGGTGTCGTGGTACTTCTCCTGGACAACACCTTTGCGAAGCAGGCCTTGCTCTTCGAAGGTGCAGTGGAGGGCAACTTCGTGGTCACACAGACCTCTCGTGGACAGCAGGTGGGAGACTGGTGCGAGGAAAGGAACGAGGAAAGCTTCAGTGCCGGAGCCCGCACGCAGTGGCGCCGCTTCAAGGTGGAGGATGTTGTGCCCCCAGCCTCGCGGCAGATGCTCTCGATACACTTCGCAACAGGCACCGATTGGGAGACCGAGTTGCTTAGCATGAAGGCCGTGGTTGTCCCGGTGGCGATGGTTGGGGCTCGGCCTGCGAACCACCCTTTCGCCCCGTACGCCATCCGTGGCGAGGACTCCTTGTTCCGTCGGTGGCGGTTTTAAGAGTTTGAGTTGCAGGTTTCTGTATCGCTGGTTAGGCTTGGGACAGGAGGATTGATTGCAAAAGCTTGAGTGTGGAAGTCTGGTTCTCAGGACTCCCTGCCACCGGGCCTGGCCGTGGTCCCGGAGAGTACTGGCGAAGGGTTCGCTTCCGGAGGACCGTCGTCGGAAGCTGCGGAGTCGCAGGAGGACGCGGAGCTGCAGTTGGCTCTGCAGCTGTCGATGCAGGAAATGCAGGAACGGGAAGCTCAGCCGAAAGTCAGAGAGCCGCGCCAGCGCTGGGGGCGCCGCAACAAGGCCGAAGCCAGCGGAATCAACGGAGGCAGCGGACCGAACAGTTGCTCCATCTGCTGCGAGCTTCTGGAAGGGCCTTTGGCGGCCATGCAGTGCTGCGCCAAAGTCTGCCGGACCTGCGCCGCGCGCTGGGCTGCAGAGCAGGAGGCACAGGGCCTCGCTGCCACGGAGATCCAGTGCCCCCAGTGCCAAGCTGCGGTCGAAGAGGCGGTGCTCCGGCGCCTGCTGAGCAAGGAGGCCTTTCAGCGGGCCAAGGAGCGCCTGAGGCCACGGCAAAAAGCCGCTGCCTTTCGGCCCGACATCGCCAGCACGACGATGGCGCGCCTGGGTCTGAAGCAATGCCCAGGCTGCGGAGAAGGTCTACAGAAAGAGTCCGAGACCTGCCACAAGATGATCTGCCGCAGCTGCCGCGCCCGCTTCTGCTTCCGGTGCCTCACGCGCCTGGCGCCTTGAATGCTCCAGCAGGCAAGTTTCTTCATAGTCAGCTTGGGGATATCCGACTCGGGATCCTTACAACTAAAGGACCATAGGATCCCATCATTTGCTGAAGGCCTCCATGTTTGGGTTTAAGTTCTTTCCTTTCTCAGAGTCCCACGTTACTTGAGGAGTACTTCAACTGCGGCTGCACGGGTGCAGAGCACCGCTTCGTGGATCCGGTAGACGGCCGGTTACTCTACTGCTCTTAGGAATTATGTGTGTGCTTTTCTTCTTACAATATAGATATCACTGCAGGGGATGAAGAACACCATTTTCATGCTGGTTCTATGGGCGGCTGAGGTTACTGCTGCACCAATAGCCGCTCAAGTGCCTCGCAAGGCACCTTTCGGGGAGTTTAGGGTCTGAGGGTTAGGGTTCGAGATATGTAGAGCATAGGGGGTATAGCATTTAAGGTTCAGGGTTTCGGGCAGGGGTCATAGAGAAACATTGACGAATGATGTCAATGCAGGAAATTACCCACGGCAAGTGTTTGTAGCTATAGTGTTGGCCGAACATTAACACCCAGTAAGCACTGATGGTGTATGCTGTGTAGAAGGGCACCCTCCAACATTGACATATTGTGTTAAGAAGTATTGTCATGAACAGCCACTCGGACCGTTGAATCGAAGTTTAGGGGGGTGAGTCAGGAATCAGTTGTCCAGGGTTCAGGCGAGTCAGGTCTCACGCCGCTAATTGATTACATCCGACTTTTAAGCTTGCTTGAGGGGCTTCCAGTTTGCGGTTTGGGGGATTTAGGGTTTTCGCACTGGGTGTCTTTGGCGTTGAGTTGATCAGTTTAGGATTCTGGAGTCCGGCTCTCTGCAGGCACCGGGGCCCTCGCTGAGTTTTCGCGCGCCGGCCGACGAAGAGCGTCGCGGGCGCGCCCGATGACAGCTGTTGGGCCCCTGTGGACAGAAAAAACACACATATTATTTTATGTTATGTTATGTTATATTATGTTGTTTATATTACACTATACTATATTATACTATATCTGCGTTATATATATATATATATGTATATGTATAATATTATATTGTATGTATGTATGTATGTATGTATGTCTGTCTGTATGTATGTATGTATGTATGCATGTATGCATGTATGCATGTATGCATGTATGCATGTATGCATGTATGCATGTATGTATGTATTTATGTATGTACGTATGTATGTATGTATGTACGTATGTATACATACAGATAAAAAACAAAGGTCTCTGGAGCCTGAGGGATTTGGCTCCAGGGTTTTAGGCTTCCGAGCCGAGCCTGCAAAACCCCAAGGCCCCCCGAGAGCTTGCGTCTTCTTCAGGTTGTTTTTGGCGGGTCGATGAGGATATCCGAGGTCTCCCGCAATTCCTGGCAGGCGACGCATACCCTGACATGCGAAGGCCGCCAATGAAGATTCAAGCCTCCACCCCCGAACCCCTAAGCCCTAAGCCCTTAAAGCCAGAACCCCCAAACCCCAAGCCTCTAATCCCTAAGCCCTAAGCCTTAAACTCTAAACCCCAAGCCTTAAACTCTACACCCCTAAACCCTAAACACCTCAACCCTAAGCCCCAAAGCCTTGCCTGCAACTCCGATCTTCAAGTGGACGACCCGTGCCCCCGGCACTCTGAGGACCCATAAGGCAGCAGTTTCTGCGCAGCTCTGGGCTTCGGGGCTCTGGGTTTCGACCCTAACCCCTAAACCCTAAACCCTAAACTGTTCGGGTTTTGGGACTTATGGTCGGGGCTTCGGATCCCTTGAAGGTGTCGGTTTAGAGATGGGGTTTCGGGGTGCTGCCCGTTTGACAGCTCCCTAACCCCGTAAACACCCTGAACCCTATGTACCCTAAACCCTAAACCCCTAAACCCCTAAACCCCTAAACCCCTAAACGCCTAAACCCCAAACCCTAAACTCCTAAACCCCTAAACCCCATACACCCCCTGTGAAAACGAACGAGTCGCCTCCGATTGCTGCAGCCGGGAAGGAGAGACACGGAGTCCAGCCGCGATTTGGTGCCTTGGAACGCCGTCGGGGCCTCAAGGGTGCTCCGGCTTTGGGGGTTAAGGTTTAGGGTCTAGGGTCTGGGGTTTAGGGTTTTAGGGTTTAGGGTTTGGGGTTGAGGGTTGAGGGGTTGAGGGGTTGAGGGATTGAGGCCACGGCGCAGGGTGTAGGGTTTAGGACTGAGGGTCTCGGTCAGTGGTGTGAGCTTCCTTTCAATGGCTCTGTCGACGTTTGGAGTGTCTCCGAAGATGGATGCAGCCTTCTCACAGGGGTTCGGGTTAAGGGTTCAGGGAGGTCGAGGGTTTCAGACCCTCAGCCCTAAACCCCTAAACCCCGTAACCCCTAAACCCCTGAGCCCCTAAACCCAAATGTTAGAAGAAGTTAGGACAGGTGTTGGCGTTTCGGGTTTCGGGCTTCCCTTCCTCGCTCGCTTCGCCAGGATGGTTCTTACGGCCAAGAGCTGGGCGGTCTCGAGGACCTGCCTCGACCTGCTAAGTGGTCTTTCACATGAAGCCCTAAACCCCTAAACCCCTAAACCCCTAAACCCCTAAACCCCTAAACCCCTAAACCCTAAACCCCTAAGCCCTAAACCCTAAACCCCTAAACCCCTAAACCCTAAACCGGCCCGAA